TCCTATTTGAGTTCCCAGGCTCTCCTGATTTTCTTTTTCATTTCTCACGCAATAGCTATCTTTATTCTGAGCACCGGATGATTTACACTCCGAGGGTTAGGGACTCTCACATGAGTAAAGTTCTCCTGAGTCCCAGCTGCATACAGTCACAAGGACATGACACTTGTGGCAAACACATGTTTTCCCACTGGGACATATGAACGCATCAAGCAGTGATGAGTAATCTGAAGTAAAGCCACTCCTATCCACTACACCTGGGAGGAACATGAAATTGAGAATAACTCCTTGTTTTGAAGAAACTGTGGTCACAACATTCTTGTCTTGTTTTCTTGAAGTTTTCTCGAAAGCACTCAGAATACTCACAGGGCTCAGTTCCTGCACTGTGTTCTGACATCATGGCATTCACCCCAAGACCGTGCTCTTTCAGGAATCTTCCTGCTGGTGACTGTGACAGTGGGAAATATTTCTGCTCCAGGTTATGTTACGAGTAGGTTTTTCCCCCTGGCCTGGGCCCACAGCCATGCCTGCTCCAAATATCACACTGAGACACTGTAATTGATATAATGCTATTGGCCAGGTACTAATTTCTTATTGGTTAGCTCTGTCTTAAGTATTAACCCACTTCTATTAATCTAACTATTTCCACGTGGTCTCATTTTACCGGAGAGTGGGTCCAGACCTCTGTTCTCCAGTCTCTACCTGCTGACTCTTCCCTACTTCTTCCTCGAATCCTCCTTGTCTCCTAGTCCCGCCTATCTTGCTTTCCTATTGGCCAACAGTGCTTTATTCATTAACCAGTATGAGAAACATATTTACAGAATGACATCTCCCATCAAGGTTAGGTTATTGGAGCAGGAGTCTTCTCTGCAGAGATGGAATTCTCTAAGTTGCCCTGTACTCAGAGGTTATTTCCACCACATCATCCTGTCCTACACTCCGCTCAAACTGTCCAACTTCAATATGATGGTTTTTGCTATATCTTACTATATTTTATTTTGTCATATTAGTCAAGGAAAAGTTATATTTCTATTTAAATTTCAAAATAATTATGATTCATTAACTTTTACAAAAGTAGAACAAGAAATAGACAATACTAAAGTTAAAAATAGGAATTAACCTTAGAAAACACTTTTTAAGAAAACACTTTTATGTTAAATTTAGGATATACAAAAAGAAAATACTGTTTAGAAACTTCTGGGTACTTAGAAATAAACTTTCTGCTAAAAATATTTACAGCTAGTTAAGGTAGCATCCTGACTTTCAAAGAAATTGCTTTTATATCTTACTAATTGAACCAGTTTTCTGGCAGCAGGCATATTGGGCCCAATGTAAGGGAGTGTTACTGGCTCAGTAAATGTTTTCAGTTTTCATGTGTGGGGGTGTGTTGTGTATGCATGCATGTGCACACACCTGTTCATGCATGTCACAGTGCTCCTGTGGATGTCAGAGGTCAACATTATGCAATCCTCCAATTCTCTCTTCACCTTTATTTGGGGTCTAGGATTGAAGTCACATTGTCAGGCTGGCTTGCACAGCAAGCACCTCTACCTCCAAAGATACCTTGCTGGTGTAGCATAAATGTTTTAACAAAGATTTTACACGAAGAACAAAAACAAGTTTGTATGGGGGGAACCCTTATTTGTATATGACGTGGTCAGCTTGAAGCCACTCAATAAGAGCAAATTCCAGGAGGACTATGAGAAGAGGGGAATGGGCATGCGAACAGTGGAGGGACAGTTTATAGAATACTTAGTCACAGTGAGGCATGTGAGGTAATGTGGGCATGAGAAGATGATCAAAGGTTAAGTCAAAGGCAGTGGAACCAGGATGTAACCCTGGTGCGCGAAAGGACTTTGGGAGCACATTCCCCATGGAGGGATACTCCCTTAACCTAGAGGCAGGAGGGAGGACCTAGTCCATACTCCAAATGACTTGATGGATTTAGATGACCCTTCCAGGAAGTCATCACCCTACCTGTGGAGTGTGGGGGTGGGTGGGCATGGGAGGGTGGTGGTGGGGCATTGGAGGATAGAAGGGAGGGAGGGAGGGATGGAGAGATAACTGGAGTCGATATGTAAAATAAGGAAAAAAAAGATTTAGTCAAAGGGAAGCATGCTTTCTCGAAAACTCCATGTTAGCTTTTCTTGTTTCCTTGTGAGGGTTCACTTGTTAGGTGAGGAGGATGAGCTAGGCCTCCTCGCCTTGCAGATGAAGTACCATCACCGGCTTTGCAGAGTAGGACCAGGGCACTGAGCTGCTCATAATGTAGGCTCACATTGAAAGGGATCTGTAACTCTTCCCTCTCTGATCTGCCACTCAAATGGAAAAGAAAAAAGAGTGCTGATGGATGGCACGGTGGGGGTGGGACAGGCCCAGGGTACAAGGGCAGGACCTAGAGCTTAGTGGCAAAGTCTGAGGAGAGCGAGCTAGAGAAAAGCCAAAGAGCTGTCCATGGGAATGTCAGAGGGGAAGGGGGAGAGGCTAGCCCAGGAAGGGGAGGCTGCTCAGCCTTTAACAAAGGGCATAAGGAGCAAGAGGAGACTCCGAACTTTCTGGGAGTCGGAGAGAAGAGGTTTGTGCTCTCGAGTTCCAAGAATAAATGGAGTCACTGAAGTGAGTCAGTGACGGAACGGAAGGCAGGGCAATTAGAGTCCTTTGTTCAGAGACTTCTGAGGTCTTTATCCATTCAAGTAGCGCAGGTTGTTCACGAAGGATGCATGGACTCTTTAAGTCTTTATTCAAAATAAGGCGCTTCAAATAAAGTGGAATGCAGGTAATCGCATCGCACAGTTTAGACGGAAGAGCAAGCTATTGGAATATATGGAAGGGAGTTACGATTGAGGATTAATATTGGCTTTATATAAGTTAATTTGTTCTGCTATGGATTTTCCTTTTGTTTGGCAAAAGAATGATTGAGTCAGTCGCAGAACTCCTCTGAAAACATCTTGGCACCAGTTTTGATTCAGTTGTAATTTTTCAAATAAGATGGACTGATACTGATCTAGTGTTAAGTCCATTGGATCCTCATGACTCTTCGTCTTCCAATATACCTTTAATAGGCACAATACTGCTTTGATGTTCTTAGCAATTATTTTTGCTCTTAAAATAGTACTCTAATTGGATTAAATAACAACTACTGCATGGATTATGTTGGACTATCTGGGAGAGCAATACAACAAATATTAGTCGTTAAGCTGTAAAGTTCCCTTCATATTGATGTTTAGATATTTCACTTTGAATTAAAAATATCCATTAAAGTTAGATTGTAGAACAACATTTTATGTAATTTATGTCCCTAAAATATGTCATATTTTTATTTAAAATAAACATTTTGTCACTCTAACTACAGAAACTGGCAGTCATCACGCAACTAAAAACTTAATAATAAAAAACTAATTATATTGTGTCTTCATTTGCCACAGTTACAGTGGTTTATTGTGAGAGTTACTGTCAAATTATCTAATCTTAAAATTTTGTGTTATACTTTATTAATTCATTTAAAGTGTTGCGGCTATTGGTGAGTGGGCTTTCACGTGTGACAACTTACGGGAGTTGGTCTTCTTCCCCTCCATCATTTGGATCTCAGGGACCAAACTCAGGCCATCAAGCTCAGCTCTCAACTGAAAGTGTGTGAACTTGCTGAGCCATCTTGCTGGTCCCACTTACTGATTTTTCTTTTCTTTTTTCTTTTTTTTTTTTTTTTTTTTTTTTTTTCACTTTTGTCTGGGATTGCATATATAATGCAGTGTTACCATCAAACGTTGCTTACCAAATTCCCATCAGAGTTTCTCTAGGAGAAATGAACATTGCAAACCAACCTCATCCCACAGTGTGTTTCAGATTCAAAGACAGAGACATGCAAATTGTGTCCCACTCAACCTGATGAAGGCAGAGCGATGCTTGCAGTAGCGACTTTCTCTCCTTTACTCCAAGAGGAGGTGCTGCCTGTTGGAAGAGAAGGGCAGTTACTGTAGGGGATTCAGTAGCCCTGTTAGAACTGTCAGTCAGACAGACAGCGGGCCAGTCTTCTCCCTTCTTGGCCATTATCCTCTGAACATCTAGTAGAAGAGATTATAGACATAAAAATAGATGCAAAAGGAAAAGGCAGATGGCATCCCTGACATGTGGGGACACTGACCAAACCCATGAAACCATATGTCAGGGCACCACTTTAGAGTTATGAAAATGATGAATGTAAGGGGTCAGAAAGCAGTGTTGAGATGAACTTTCTAGAAAGCTTTATGGCAGTTGCTGGGAAGAACATTTATATTTTTATAGATTGGTTCAGATGATTCTGATTTTTCAAGTATGGGCCTGGTTCACTGCACCTTACTGTCTTATGGTGGGTGTATGTGGCATGCATATGTGTTTCCCTGTATGTGCTCACACATGTGTGCATGTTGCTGTTGTGCATGAACTGATACATGCTGGAGTTAATGTAATGAAGATTCAGGGTATGATGAAGAACATCATATTTCCTTGAATAGACATCTACCAGTTTTGATCTGCTCCATCCTTTTGGCATAGGAAAATCAACTCTGGTTTCATACTTCATAGTTTTCCATCTTATCCTGCCAATTTGCCACATAAGTTACTTAATTGATAAAATGGGAACAATATTGATACCAATTTCAAGGACCAGCTAGTTTTCCTGAATCAGCAGCCTCCATTGTCGGTAAGAGATCCAGTCTCAAAAACAAACAAACAAAAACAAAACAAACAACAACAACAAAAAAAAAAAACATGGACAGCAACTAAAGGAGACATCCAGTATGGCCTTTGGCCTGTATATCAATGACATGAATGTGTACACTCATGCTACATGAAATTCTCTTCCAACAACTCATGTTACCACCCAGTAGGGAACAGTGATAGTGTCTGTGGCCTTAAGGAGGGTTCCTTTGAATTCATTTAATTCTAAGCCCCCAGAATGGGGCCTTCAAACAAGACTTTTAAGAAATTTATTTCACTCCAACACGCATCTGTCTTTGCCTCTTCAGGGATGAGGGGAGAATCTTACTTCATCGGAATGAGGAGCCTGGGGCAGCAGGCATCCATCCCTGAAGATGGGGGACTTTTCTTCCTCTGCTGCATAGACAGAGACTGGGCTGTCACTCAGTGCTTTGCAGAAGAGGCCTTCCAAGCGATCACTGACTTCAATGACCTCCCCAACTCACTGTTTGCCTGCAATGTTCACCAGTCCGTGTTTGAAGAAGAAGAGAGCAAGGTAAGACATGCTTTCCGAAGCCCAAAGAGGTTTGCAAACAGCCTCCTTTCTCATTTGGTGTTAGCCATTTGGAAGTTGTTAGATGTGGCCACTACTCGGCTCTGCATTGGCCATCGGGATCAGAAAAGCCTGGCTGGTATAAGCTACGGAGGTGGAGGTGTGTCTGACTAGGTTGTGAGTGAGGTTGTGTGGGAAGGAATCCAGTCCTTGCTGGTTTGTAGGCTCAGCTAACAGAAGTGGTATTTGGAATCTTGACTGTAAGATAAGATGTATTCCTAAGCAAGGAAGCAGGTGTTAAAAACACCTGAGAGTTTTCTTCCTACCATTCTGCCTAAATATAATTGGGCTTTCTCAGAACGATGCAAGATTGTTTTAACTCCTCCCCTTCTTCAAGGTGACGTCTCTTCTGGGATGGCCAGAGAAGGAGCACTAGCTGGCCATCTGAGTTTCCCTCTTATGTCTGTGTACAATGGTGGCTATAGCCAACTGTATTTTACTGCTCACCAACACTGCTTCGATGTGACTATGGACCCAGGCTCTATAAACATTTTCTAGATTCTCATTTTCAGAAGCCAACTTGAGTTAGTGAAATTGTCCCTGGAAATAATTCCACTTGGGGGCTTTCTGCAGTTTATTTCAGGTTGCAGAGTCTGCCAATGGGATAGCTAGATGGTTCCAACCTTCCTGCATAGATGTGGATCCCAACTATAAATATTTACTATTAAACCATGTTGTAAGCCATTGGTATTTTTTAAGGCAAAATGCTTTTTTTTTTTTTTTGTAAACTAAAGTGTGTGACATTGTATGCCATGTGAACACTTTCTGATTGCCATTTGATAAATGCTGTCTTTCTATTTCTAAAGTCCAGAGCACAGCTAATTGGAAATTTAGTTTCTGAGTTTTATTGATTTTTATGATTGTTCTTAATGAGCCACAGAGAAAACCAATGTGTGTGTGTGGGGGGGAGGTATTTCATTTAAAGACACTGTGTAGCAAGATTGTTTTGGCCTTGAACAACTGAAACTGTAGACTGAAAATAGCCTGAAGTGCAGTGAATTAGCTGTGATTAGAAGCTTCAGGGCCATGATTACCAGGTTATTTAAAGCAAGAAAGGAGCACTGAAGAAATTGGGATTTTGCTCCTGGATTGGAAAGCAGATTACAAAACAGATTATCATTTGCCCTGGGTAAGTTATTTGCTGTGAAATACACTTGCTATGAACTATGAAATGAGGCTCTCCATGTTCTCCTTGTACCTTCCATTCATCCAAGTGTCACAGTAGAGAGGATTTTCCTTGGCGATCTAGTGGAGGCTTTTATTCTTTCATAACTGACTACTGACACTGGTTAGTTGAAACAATAGGTACCTAGGAAGGCACTGGTTTTTATTTTTACTTTTTTTTTTTTTTTTAAGTGCTACTATGTCCTGGAGAGATGTGAACAAATTCACCCTGGACAGGAAACTGATATGTCTCAAGTTAACAATTGCTTGTTGGTGGATGAGACTTATAGGATTATGAGTGAGGACACAAATGACTCAAAGGCAACTGCACTGAAAATGGTGTACCTGGGCGTGGGGACAGCTCGGGGAATCCAGGAGCCTGGAATATTGTGTGGCTGCAGGCAGCTTGATAGGGAGGAAGGTATCTCAGATCCACAGTAGTCCTCACGGCAGACTATCCTTGGGAAGGGAGAGACTTTCTACAACCTGTAAGTTTAAGGGATTTCCGGAAGTCTGTGTTGTTTATTTCCTGAGTGTCCACTGTCGCTCTTTAGAATTTTCTGAGTTTTTATGAGCATTCCTTTAGAATTTCCTGAGTCTTAAGGACCTTTCCTCCAGGTCCTAACATGGAGAATATAGGTGCACAAGTGCCATTCAAAACCAGCTGATTGGCTGAACTTAAATATTGAACCCTGGAGGATGAAGGCATGGGGATGGGCATTTATGTGCATACTAGATACATATTATGATATATTCATTCTCCTCTGTGGCTTGTTAGTATTTGGATACCAGCTGTCCCTCATAAGCCTGTGTGTTAAAAGCTTACTCCCAGATTGGTGAGGAAGAGGGTGCGGGACCTTTAAGAGGCAGGACATAGCAAGGGCTCTTTAGGTCATTGGGGGATTCCACCTCAAGTGGCACCCAGGTCTGTTGTAACCCAACCACAGGTGAGTGACTGCTCTGCCATGATGTGCTGCCTCAACCAAGGCTCAGTCATCTGGCTAATGGGTTGGGGGCTGAAATCTTCCAATCCTTTTCTCCTTGTAAGATGATCACTGCCCACTAGCAGGAAACTAACATGGATCGCCAGTGTTTCAATACTCTTTTTTAATTAAAATGTCTATTTTTATGTATGTATATGTGCCTCCTGGTCTACATATGTACCACATGCATGTAGGTAACCCAGGAGGCTGAAAGAGAGTATTAAATCCCTTGGTAATTGTAAGCCCCTGAGCAACCCAACATGCTTGGAACTGAACTCAAGTCTTCTGGAAGAACAGTGCTTGCTTAGTCATCTTGAGTTATCGCTCCAGCCCCCAGTTTTTCCATGATTTATATCTATATCTGTATCTGTAGCTATATCATCTACATCTATATCTATATCTATAATTTCACAAGGATATTATTTCCAGAGTCCAGATTTCATGGATCTGAGCCACAAAGTCTGATGTTGGACACCTTTTCTAAAGGATGGACCATTTGGGCATTCTTCTAGGGTGGAAGGTAATTTTAGACAGAGAAAAAAGAAACAGAAAGCATCATTTATCCCTGTGTTTGCCTGTGAGCAAGGCCTGATGGTGCTAATTGCTTTTGTAGTGTGTTGGAGAAGACATGGTTTTGCAGCCTGGGACTTCATCATTTCTAAGGTCCCTGTGGGTAGGTGCTAACACATGTGACTAATCACAACATGGTGCTTTCATTTGGCCATACTCTTATTTCCAAACCATGGTGTTTGGATATTGGTGTCTTTGATGTTAGCCTGCTTTTGCTGTTACTGTTAAGTATTAATTTTAAGTTTCCTAGCTATAGAAAAACCTCAAACTTCTGCTTCTTTTCATGAATGAGTCTTGCAACAGACTCTTCTCCATGCTCCCATGTGTCTGAGATGCTCTTTCTGTTCTTTTCAAGCTAAGTCAGGAAATACCGAATTGAATTATTTGTAGCATAGGTAACACTATCAGGCGTATTTGGTTTCTGCTTAAGTGTTCTCCTGTGCATATTTCTGCCATCCTTCTAAAATTCTCTGTTCTAACACTTGATGCACATTTTTAGCAGCTTTTTTAGGGCTCTGACATTCATTCGGATTTCCAGTCAGGCAGAATTCTGAAAGATCGTACTTTGATTTGATGCTTTGGCGATGAGTGAGAGCAGACTTCAGCATGGTTTGTTGTGGTCCAGATGGTTGTATTCTGTTTATATAACAGACAGGATAACCAGAACTGGAGGAAACCAGCATCCAAAACCAACAAATACAGATTGCTGTTTGCATAATACAGCCTGAAGTATAAATATTTTTGTGTGAAACCCATTTAGGACTGAACTCTTGAAAGCATCAACACTCGGAAGTTACTAGGGTTCATTTCCCTCTAGAGTGGTCCACCCTTGTTGGTCTGTCTGGATCTGAGTAGGCCATGGAGACTTGAGATAGGTAAATGTGGAAGGAGGAACCTCTTTGTTGCCACAGGCCTGCTGGACAGGACCTTGGCCTCTAAAGGAAAAGAACTGCTATGAAATATTTATCCAAACTCAATCGAGTAAGGAAAAGCCAGCAAGTCACTTCATAATGGCCTTCAAAACATATACATCTATTTAATAATGATAACAACATTCTCTTCAGCAACCATCCTGGAGTATGTTTCAAGGTACCAGGTGATTTTACAAATATTTCATAAACACTGAGCTTTTCTGCAGTCACCCATCCTAGGAGTGTGGGTTCGTTCTGTCTTTCTATTGTTGCAGAATATTTAACTTATGTAAAGGTGTGTTACATTGTTTATGTTGTGGACTATTACTTTAGCTATGTAAAGATGTGTTGCTTTTGTTTATGCTGCATTTGTTTAACTATGTAAACATGTGCTGCTGTTTCACCTCACCTGCCTAAGGTACCCGATTGGTCTAATAAAAAGCTGAATGGCCAACAGCAGCTCAGAAGTGGAGGGATAGGCTGTCCTAATGAGCAGAGAGAATAAGTAGGAGGACTCTAGACTCAGAAGAAGAAGAGTGAAGAAAGAAAGAGAGAGAGAGACACCCGGGATCAGTCAGGCAGCCATGAGCCAGCCAGACAAAGAATACAGAATGAATACAGAATGAATACAGAATGAATACAGAATGAATATAGAATGAAAAAAATGATAAACAATCCTGAGGCAAAACATAGATGGAAAGAAACGGGTTAAATTCAGTCGTAAGCGCTAGGGGGGTTAGCATGAGATAAGGCTGAGCATCCAGAATTAGTAAGAATTAGTAAGAAGGTCTTCATTTGGGACATGGTTGGTGGCCAAAAGAAAGCCTACTACATTCTACTCCTGGGCATGTGGTGGGATTCCATGGCCTTGAACTTACTGGGCTGTTTTGCCTGGTGTGTAAGCAGAATTGACTTTTGTCATTCCCACACCAAGCATTTAATTACTGATGTGGGCCTCTAATGAATGCCCTCTTCACTAGGCTGGGGAAAACTGGCACTGTGTTATCTGATGCCTGTTCACTTGGGTGTGAGAGTGGGAACAAGAGCTGCACAGAGAAGGGGTCTAGCCAACTTATAATGAACATAAAATGCAGCAAGACTAAACAAACACAACAAGGCTCCATTGAGAGGCTGCTGAGCCTGGGAGTTGTTGTAGGATACATGAGTCTATCTAGGTTGATAGCATCATTATCCTCATTGTCAGACAAAGACAGAGAGATGCAGTTTGCCATGATTTCACAGCTTGCAGTGACTGAGTCTGGATGAAGATCCAGGCTGCCATCTGCTAGAGTCCACACACTATGTTTACTAAGTA